AGCCCCTTTAGGGGATTATAACAATGCTGTGTCCAAGTTAACTGCAGCATTGTCCTCTCTGCAAACTGACATGCAGCGACTGAGTGAACAGCAGAATCAACTGATTAAGAAGAAACCTGCAGCATCAACGAACAAATCCTGGGTTATTCCAGCTGACCCTAAACCTTCCAACTCAGCTCCTCCTTCACGCATTTCACGAGAATCCACCCGAGGTTTTAATTTACCCTCCTCTTCTCCCTCACCATCTCGCAAAATGGCAAACCCTTCTGCTCCTCCTAAATCTCCCAAAGTTCATCGAAGAGCTCAGTCTGTACCCCCTAAAAGTCCTAAACACAGTCGCCAAATGGACACAAAGTTCCCAAAGGATTCAAGGGTTCTCACGCCACCTCAGAATGTAGACCGTATCCCCCATCGTCGTCGAGTAAATCATTTGCAGTCCCAGGTTCAGACTTCATCCTCCTTCTCTATCGGTGACTCTGATAGCTTGGATGAGCTACGTTCATTCGGGCCGACTCCTGTCCCCACACCTTCGTTGACTCCTATACCAACTCCACCTCCTCATCTTGCAGCAGATGACGCCCTATCAGAAGTAGGCTCCAATGATGGACAGAGTATTTTTAGCATGGACATGGAGGCAGGGCGCTCCCACAGTCCCCTGGTAAAGAAGGAAGGGCTTGCTAGTGCAGGATGCAGCTCTGGTGCCCCTTCAGAATGCTCTTTCGATAGTGAAGCACCAGCTGGAATGTCCAATGGCAAACGTAGCAGTTTAATTGAGATCTCACTCTCTGCCTTGGGAGCAGAGAGGGAAGAGGATGACGAAGTGCCTGATACATTATCAGATTCAATGAGTGATCGAACGGAGCCAGAATCGAAGGCAGGAGTTGGTTTCTTTTTCAAGGTTGGGACTACATCTCATTATCTTGGTATCTGGTAAACCATGGTTTAGGTCAGTGTGTTCATGGCTATTTGTCTACTTGGTTTTGTGTTTGTAGGATGACAGGGATCGACCAGAGGATGAGATGGCACAGCGAAGAGCAGCTTTTCTTGAGAAGCAGCAAAGGAGAACCGAAGAAATGAAGAGACGCAAACTTGAGCAAGAGAAGGAAAAAGAATCAAAGTAAGGCTTTTCTTACTTTTTCCACTTACGCAGCTGGTCGCATTACTAAATATGAACAGTAATGGTGCATACAATAAAAACTATTTTAGCACAATAGGCACTCCCTAATTACTCCTGGACAGTCACATATGTTTGGATGATAGTTTTTCAATCACATTTTTGTTGTTGTTATATCTGTATTCCCTGTACATGTTGACATTGTGCTCTCTGTCTCCCTGTGCTCTTAGCAAGCCTCAGTGGATGATCATTGAAGGCTGGGGCAAGAGTGAAGAAACACCCCAGACCCCAGGTACCCCTACAGCACCATGTACCCCACCAGCAGAAGGGACTCCCCAGCGCAGAGGAGACTTCACCAGGCAGGAATATGAGAGACGACAGCAACTGAAGATTATGGAAGATCTGGACAAAGTGCTGAGGAAGAAACCTACAACAGTCCGTGATGTGAAGAAACAGAGACCTAAGACAGTTTTCAGAGATGACTCAGTTTTGTCCAATAGTCCCGTCAAGGGTAAAGGCATCCGACTCCACCACCAAATTTCTACGTTTTAGAAACTTTATCTCTGCTTTTGTTATTTTTTTTAATAACATGCACTTGTTGTTTTCTGTGTAGGAAACAGGCTGAACAAAGGGAACTTCCACTCAATGATGAACCTGTCCTCTATGGCTAATGACTCTGGAGGACTGACTGTCAGGAAATCTCCAAGGTAACATACACAGGGATGATGGTTTAAATTTATTTATGTGTGGGCTTTAAATGTTGGAGCCGTTTCATATTTGCCCTGGACAGGTCAAAGAACATTACATTAACCATCAGAGAAAGAGGTCCTGGATAATGGATTTTTACAATGATCAAGTGGTTTCATTATTTGTTTGTGTTTTTCCGCCTCTAGTTACAGTTGCTGTGGTAGTTGTTATCAGTGCTATCAGGTACAAAGGTGATGGTGACGATTAATGTCTGTAACCCACTTTGTCTTTTTTTTTTTTAGCCGATCACACTCTCCCTCTCGGTCACGGCTAATGTCACCAGGGCGACGGAGTGCCCAGAATGGGGAAAAAGACTGGGAAAATGGATCCACCATTTCCTCCCCAGCTTCTATTCCAGAATATACAGGTCAGTGATTAATTCATGGCTGCAGTTTGTTTTAAAAATGTGAGCATTGTTTTATGAGAGCAGCATATCATGTGTGAGAACTGTTTTTCAGGACCAAAGCTATACAAAGAACCGAGCTTTAAGTCCAACAAGTTCATCATCCATAATGCCATCACTCGCTGCTGCCTGGCTGGCAAGGTTAATGAACCACAAAAAAACAAGATTGTTGAGGTAAAGAATGCTGCTACGCTACGGTCTCACTAAGAGGCCCAGACAAACAAGGCTCTTACAAACTCTGCTTGTGTGTTTGGTGTTTGTCTTTTCAGGAAATGGAAAAAAGCGCAGCCAACCATTTCCTAATCCTCTTCCGAGACGCCAGCTGCCAATTCAGAGCAGTTTACACCATGAACCCTGAAACCGAGGACATGGACCGGCTGACTGGCATTGGCCCACGGAATATCAAACCTGAGATGGTGGAGTCCATTTACAAGTATAGCTCTGATCGTAAACAGTTCACTGTCATCCCGTCCAAAACCATGTCAATGAGTGTTGATGCCTTCACCATTCCTAACCACTTTTGGCAGAAGCGCCCAGGAACACCTAAAAAGTTGAATACCCCAAATTAAAGGCTCATCTATGGTTGGGAAGCTGTAATTCAGGAAATATACACAGTTGACTCATTCTTCTTTTCTGATTCCCTGGATAGTGTGGAGTGTCAGATCGTTCTGTTGGGGAAAAAAATGGAACGACTGCTCAGGTATTTTTTTCCGCTATCAGCTTGGACCCTGAGAACCGATCTGGTGACTTGCCAAGAGAATGAGTCAATCACTCCTTAAATCAGCCACTCAAGCTAAAAGAGTTTATCTCCAGAGCTTCTGACGGGTTCTGAATGATCCACTCAAATTGTAAAATATAATGGGACAAATTTCATTTGGATAAAAAAAAAAAACGTTTCCCTTTTCCTCCTCATGCCTTGCCTTACCCTGCCAAGTCTGAGTCTTGTTTTTTGACTCGAAAAGGGAGGGGAGGGAGGAATTACACTGCCTTTGCCCACACAACAATGTTTTGGGTACAAGCAGCTCCCACCCCTCAAAGTTTTGGTTTGGTTTCCTTTCGCTGCCTTTTCTTCTTCCAGGGCTCCGTTTCCCTCCAGTATACTGAGACACATGGCTCAGCTCTCTGATTGGAAATGAAGGCTGAAATGTATAGGCAGTTAACGCTGCTCTCATATGAATGTAGGGGACACGCTAGCCGCTCCTAGTCAGGACCAGAAAATACCATCGATATACCAGAGGCTACTTTCACTGCAGATTGCTTTACACATTCAAAACTGCTTGTGCCCCATATTTTCTGCACTCCACTCCTTCAGCTGTAGACATCTGGATGTTTTTTTTAATACTTTTTGACATGTGTTTTGCTAGCAACTGATTGAATCTTTGAGAGCTGAAAGAAGAATGAAATATCCTGTGATTTTTCTGTTTATTGGTTATTTTCATGGAAATAATGGTTTGAGCTTGTCTTGCGAGCTCCGGGGGGGACAAAGATGAAGAAGAGCTTTGTCATGTTTATCAATACTTGGATAAAGCTCTGTATGACAATGATAATCAATCTTGATTTAATATATACTGAATGCTAAATACTTTCTTTTTTTGATGATGATTTGTAAAAATTAAGTTGACCTTTGTGAGCTACAAATAAGCTACCCTGCTGCTTAAGCATTAGTGAGATGTATGTTTGAGATGACTGTGTGAATGAGAACGAATTTGAATTGTTCAACAGCTGAGGTTCATGATACTGTTTTAGGATAAATAAATTGTGTAGGTCACTGAGCTTGTTTCCTAATGCATTATTCCCTGTTTATATGTCCAAGCATATAAACAGTAGGTTTCTTAACGAAGGATCATTCTGGACTGTAACAGCCCTCGTCTACCCCACAGTCTCTTGAGACTTCTTCATGTGCAACTGGGGAATGTAAAATGCCAAAAGCTTCTTTCTTTTTCTCAGTGCTATTTAAAAAAATGACTCCAGAATTTCTTGATTAATTCAATACAGAAAATCTTGAAAGTTTGCTCTTTCTTTGCAGTCTTGCAGCATTATTACAGTTGCCACAGTGCAGCTACCTTCTTTTAAAATCACAGAATGCCTCCATGTAATGTTGTTTGAAGGGGACTCCTATGGATGCAATGTTGAAACCATAAATAAGAAATAAACTGTTGATTAAGTAAGTATGTGTGTGGGGGATTACGTGTAGACTAATAGATGTTTCTATTTATGTACTTGTAAAGCTTCATATGTGTTAGTGAAGACTATATTTTGATTCTGTGCAATTCTCCCTAAAACTCCCCACATCATCTAGAGCTATATTTATTCCTATTTGAATTATTTGACAAATTTATTTTTTAGTTTGAGGTTCTCTGTCCTTCTGTCCTTTTCTCTCCATTTCTTTCTGTTTGTTTTTTTAAAATGAAGGTTATATGTCAAATTGCCATTTCAGAAAAGATGTCATAAGTTTGTTTTGATTTCTTCCGTTTTCTCATTTGCCAGTACATTTTATATGTTCATTTCATTAAGTGACTCCTTGACAAGTGGACCAGAAAAATAAAATCCTTTTTAAATCATTCACATTGATTTTTTTTTTTTTTTAATTTTTATTATTTGATCACCCTCCACCGCTCATATATATATTTTTAGAATTTGCTTGTGGACTAGAGACCTTCTTTGAAAAGATATAAAGAATGAGAGTGAATAACATTTTTATTTTCTATTTACAAAAGTTATTAGACACAAAATTGCTTGACTTTACTGGATGTATTTTATTGCTTTTGTTGAACAGTTTTGCTTTTCCTGTTTACATGAAATAAGATGACACCTGGGTCCTCATTTAACACTGATTAGGAAACCTCATAGCATGACCCATCTTCATCTTAGAACATCTTTGAAGGTGATCATTTTTCAAACTTCAACACCCTCCTAGTTGTGCTTAGCGTGCAGCATCTCCGCAAGCAGAGAGTTGCAGGGTAAATCTCCAAGAAGGTGGCGCTGGTACAAATAGTCCTCAACTTGCAAGCTAATGCTGCGCACCTCTGGGAGCCGAAGAAGCAACTGCCCAAACTTGTCCAAGTGTCCCGGGTGGCTCTGCTGGGTATGTTCCATGAGGGCTCTGTTCACCCTCTCCTGAGTTTGCTCTACTTGTCTGCGGTTCTGGACTGACTTCACATCTGATGTGTTTAAAAAAAAAAGCACAAAAAGCGGGTTGAACACTAATAGCGACTGCATTAATGAAAGATCAAAAATAAGGTCTGTCTCTTAACAGCTATTGAATTAAGAACACTAACCTGGGTTGAACAGGACAAGGTATTTAAGACAAACAAACTCGTGTCTGTCAAACTGGAGTGCCTTAAGTTTGAAAACAAGGTCTTGAGTTCTTGATACTAAACTACTTAATGTTGTTCCAGCCTGGGACATAATGGTTGACACTTCAATCTGCATCACAATAAATCACAGTTAGTGATAAGTGTGCGAGTGATGAAATAAAACAATAAAACATGTCTAATACTTAACCTGTTGACCTGTGACCAGATAAATACAACCTTCTTTTCCATGAAGGACTTGTCTGCAGAGGTGGTCTAGGACCAGCAGCTCACTCCAACAGCTTTGCAGGAGTGACATCTGATCATCCACCTATCAGGAGCACCAAGGTGTGTAAAGTAAAAGACTAAAACACTTGAACTCTGGAAACTGCATAGCTCTTATCCTGCTGTCAGTTGGTAGTGTAGCAGAATTTTCTTACCTTGAGCTCTTTAAAGAGATTGCTGTTTCTGGCCCACTCCACAAGTCCAAACAGAGTCTGGTCAGCTATTTTGCACATGATGCTGAATGTATTCAGGCAGTCATGCTTCCCTCGATTGGCCTGCTCTCTTTGCAGACTCGCCAAGACTTTGGTGCGTAGCTGACCCTCATCTTGTTCACCCTCCAGGAGCTGGATGAGGAAGCTGGGAAAAGGAGTGGTTGGTGGAGGTGTTGTCTGAGTACCAGCCTGGGAAATGGCAGGTGCTGAGCTTGGTGTGAAGCAGGGGGAAGATGTTGGTGTGGATGAATGGACTGCAAAGTGTGTGGGAATGGGGTCGTAGCTGAAGCTGGTTTCCCCTTTATGCTGTGAGTATTCAGGGAAACCACAACAAAGTCCACGGAAAGGCAAGGATGGAGATGATAGCACTCTATGATTGTTCATGGTACAGTCCAGAGGCATGGGTTGACAACTTTGCTCCATCTCAGACGGATACATAATGTGGGATAGATGAAAAGCAACTGAAGACGATGTATTGCTTGTTGGACCACTTATTCGATGGTCATTTGGAGATTGGGGACCAGGTGTTTGCCTCGTTTCCATCTTAATCCTGCAGGGATCTGTGTTTGCCTTTTGCTGTTTCATCTGCCTGTCGCGTCTGTACAGAGGCCCAAACTTATTCCTGCCACCTCTCATACGATCTGCTCTTACAGCTGAAGGCAAAAAGAAGCCATAATTAAAAGGGTTTGACACCAACACTTGTAACATCTTTGGCAAAAATAAATAAATAAAAATGAATAAATAAACATTACTTGGGGTCTAAGTGGAATAACATATCATATTTGACCTACATTTACAAATTTCCTGTATTGAAATTTTGCCACTTAAACCAAATCTAGGATGATTTAGTTTCATAAGGAAGAGATGGACATTTGCACTGCCATGAAAATAGTATTTCCTCCTTTCAAGAGGTATTTTCTTTTAATTTTCCTGTTTTTTAGTCACACTTAAGAATTTCAGATATGTCATAGTATTGAGTTAATACAAAGCACTAATTTGTAATGATAATTTGAATTATTAAGAGAGAATAAGGTACATAGAACAGCAGATCAGGGTAACACTTTATTTGACAGGTCGTGAATAAGACTGTCATGAAACAGGAAACATAACACCTGTCATGGACATAAGTCGTCATGAATATTGATGACTGTTGTCATAAAGTGTAATTTGGTAAATCATGACACTTTTAATACAAAGTTGACATTACTCAAAATGATCTGAAATCTTGATCTGATAAAAATTTGTTATAAAAGTATTACTGATTAAACTTTAGCTTTAATAACATAAAGAATACATAATTTTCAGACCCTACCCTAACCCTTTTATCTCTAATAAATATTTCAGTAGAGTTTTTCAGTGTAAGTGACATGAAACATTTAAGTGACAAATAAAATCCCTGCAGAAGATGTCTAATGATGCTTTTTCACAGCATAGCATGTGACAAAGAAGCAGAATTACATCAAAAGTGTTGAGAAATTATATACCTTCTTTTCTCATGCCTACAGCCAGACACTTCTGGAAGCGGCAGTAAGGGCAACGTTTTCTTTGGGACGGGTTCATTGGGCAGCGTTGTTGCTCTGAACAGGTGTAATGCTTGTTATTCTGCACTGAGCGCTTAAAGAAGCCCTGTGTGAGAAAGAAATACTGCTAGTGTGTTGATTCTGTCTGAGGGGGCAAAACCAAATTGAATCTGGGCCTCCATCATCATAGAATGACTAAATATGAACAACTTATTCCATACCTTGCAACTCTCACAGGTAAGCAGTCCATAGTGGTATCCTGACACTTTGTCACCACAAACCGGACAGCTCTCCTCTGACTCTGACCGACTGTCTGCCTCAGTCTTTTGTTCCTGAGCTACCAAAAGACAGTAGATACATCAAAACTTGTGATTCAATTTTTGACACATACTTATAGGTAAGGAAATGGATTAAGATCAATAGCGCTCACATGAAATGGGGCTTATTGCTCAGCTATTGAGCAGGCAAGGGATACTACAGGACCATCCCTCCACTGCAGAAAGTATCTTATCACTCATCTAGATTTGTTCGACTTTGATAACATGCATGACCCTTATATAATTTCTACCTACACCATGTCTAGTGAATGAAAACTGTACCACATACATTTTTGAATCGAAAGTCCTTTAAAGTTATATTTTTCATCTCTGCAAGGAGTCATTGCTTTGCCAACAACACGTGTTCATTTTACAAAAGGTATTATAAAAAAAAGTTTGAATTTTAAAACAAAAAAGTTTCACTTTGCAATCCATGCCGTACTCACATGTTGATGAACCCTCCTGGGTTAACAAATCCTCTGGATGTCTACCAGAGAAATGGACAGGAGGCTGAGGCTGTTGTGTATAATACCCAGGTATGTCCATCTTCTTGGGACATGAACGCCACAGTCAGCTTAGTTTGATCTTCATTGTTGCAAAGACCAACAGACAAGACAGTCGCTGCAGGAGAGCCAGAGAAAAGCCAGGCGGTGGTCAGGCCCAACAGCTCTGATGGACTGACAACTGTTGGAGGCCCACATTTGGACTTTGGTCCATAGTGGGTGTCATAAAACCTCTCCTGACTGGCACTCCTAACCAGTCAGTATATCAGCAAGCTGGCCCGCCGGCCCCTTCCTGGGGGTCAGATAGCCACCTGCTGGAATCTTACTGAAGTGAAATCACTTCTGGATCACTGAACCAATCTGAATCCCAGCAGATAAGATAAGAGTCCATTAAAGAGCAAACAGGACCACTGCTAAACTACAAACATGCAGATATGACCTTAGATTATTTGTATTCCTATTTTAAGGTTTGCAAATTGTGGAAAGCACACTTCCTTTTCAAAACACCCTTTAACATTTATCCTGTTTGAAAACAATGATTAAATTACTAGATCTCCAAATTGTGCTGAACATGAACATTTTCATAATACTGTAAAAAGATTGATTGCTCAATATGTGGGTTCAGTTTTCTTCTTGCTTGCTTGATTCTCAGCTTCTTCCTTTTCTATAATTGTTATTGGGTTTCAGGGTGAAAGTGGACTTATTTCTAAATATCACCAACACTGATGACAAATGTGTTTATGTATTACCGTTCACAATATCATTATAGAATAGCTCACTTACAGATGAATACATAATTTTCCATCTTTCTGTTTCTTGTTATTCAAAATAAGCAACGTTAGTTTAGCTGTTGCATGTTCTTTATTTCTATAGAACTTTAAACACTTAAATGAAAAATAATGGCAACTGCTTCAATCTGCTGTAATGCATTTGGAAGCATTTATGGAAAATTACATAATTATAATTATTTAGTTGAAGAAAATAAATATAAGGTATATATTTTGTCCTGCATAGTAGCAATGTTGCAAAAATAAAGCTATGGTCTCTAGTACTGCAGTTAATTCAAAAACTGAGGTTTGTAAAATTAATTCATTGCGTTTTACAGCTGGCTAAAATTGAACAAATCTCCACTTTGCAAATAATACATGCATTATTACAATGCTGTGTGCAACAGATTATGTAATAAAACTTGTATGTATTATCTTAACCTTCCAGACAGTGGTGATAAGATACAGCTGAAACACAATTAACACAAACTGATCCAGTCACACAGTGACGTCAAAGTCAAGCCATAACGGCAGCTAAGGTTCATGGTTACCATGGATACGTTCAAATATTATACAGCATTGCATGATAAGTTCTTTATCTGCTCATTTTAAACTAGATATTTAGCTTGAGGTAATATAAACATAGCTTTCATAAAATTGGTCAGGTTTTCATGAGATCAAGGAGGCATCAGCTCTTTCAAGATTTAGTTACCATTAGTGCCATCTACTGGTGCAGACGTGCAAAGCTTTAGTTTACATATCGTACATGTACAAAAATCTATCATTCACAGACCCATAAATAAAGAAACAGAATTATTGCTGCACAAACTACTTTATTTTTCAACAACAAAAAAATGAAAGCAAACTCAAAACAATTTACAAAACGCCTATGATTATGGCTTTGCTGTCTGTGTGTTCAAACAGGTTTATGTTCAATTTTAAGCAAAGTTCAGCTGAAGCACAGGCATTGTGTTCAGAAATCTATGCAAATGGTTGAAGACCTGGGTTACACACTGCATCCCCCTCAACAACGTACCACACCTCACAGTGTCTCTTTTTCTTGGGCTTCGGACTACAAGAACATAAAAACACACCGAGATTTTAGAATATGACTTCAACATGCTGGGGTTGTTCCAAGCATTTGTGCTTATCATTTTATCACCTGTCATATCCAGCTGCGAAGTGGAATCCTTTCCTGTACTGAGCTTTGGCAGTGTCAAGAGCATTAGACAGTTTCTTGGAGTACTTATTGTCAGACCAGGTGCTCAAGTAGGAGTCATAGTCGACGACATAGACATTCATAGCAGGCATTTCTTGGATGTAAACCTGCAAATTAGCAAAAATGTTTTATCTGCAGAAAGCAAAAGCATATCTCAGAAAAAAAGATTCAAGTTTTATAACAAAGTTTACGTCATCATTTGTAGGTTTTGGGGGATCCATCTGATATTCTGCTGGCAGCAAGAAACTCATTGTGAAGACATCCGTCCTGAAAATGCTCTTTTCAGGCATTCCCATCAGAACTGGAGCGGTCATAGGGATCTTTTGGCCTGCAAGGGAACAGAAATATTGCAATGTGTACCAAAAAGAAAATATGTACACACTGTCAATACAATTGAATAAATAAAATTCCACATTTAGATGAAGACCATTTTAATAAAGAGCAAAAAATAAAAAATAAAAAATAGGACCACAATGTTTCAGTGTTACTAATCAAGACATTTACTTTTTTTTTATTTGGAAGTCAAATTTTGAATGAAAGACAGTAAAGAAATTTAGGCCAATTTTTTTCCTACAGGCTATTAAAGTCTGTTCTTTAGTTTGTAATAAACAGTATCGCCTTTGTGTTTGTGCTTATTGGTCACCTTGTGTGGAATTTTAATTGTTAAATGTATTTCTTTTCCCTCACAGAAAAAGCTGTAAAGAAAGAAGTGAGTGAAAAAAAATGGTAGCATCAAATCACATACTAACTTGCTTCATTTTCACCGGTGATGTACTTGTACAACTTCCAAAACGCTGGTACCATCATAAATTCCATAGAGAAGGTGGTGTAATTAGTTGTGACCCATTTCACAGAGTCATAATGCCGCACCTGAAAATTATTATTATTATTATTGTTATTATTATAAATGCATTTATTTTATGTCATTCTCAGGAACGTTCTCCCTCGAATACTGATGGAGATAGGTGCTAGCCCTGCACAACCCTTCAAAAATGAACAGATATAGACAACAAATAGGCACTTCCAAACAAATATGAACCATTTTTATTGTCATTTTATTTGTTCTTGTAGACACTCACCTCATATATGGGGTTCTTGCAAATCAAGTCAAACAGCAGGCACTGCTCTGTCTCATTGCAGAAGTCCAGTTGGGAGGAGTCTCTGTAAAGTCAAAACATACATAATATTCTCTTATCTGCATTCACAAGGAAATGTTAAAGTAGCATCTACTCATACCACATGCTGAGTGAAAATGTCAGTAAGTTAATTTTTCATACCCAACTCTGGCCTCAGCAGTTAGAACCAGCAGAAGACCCAGAAGACCTGAAAAACAAATCCTGACACAGCAAATGTAAAGCGTTTGTTTCATTGTTATTAAATTCAACTTCAATGCATTTCTGTTCACCAAGAATGTAAGTTAAAATAAAATGAACGTCTACTTACATTGCAGCTCACTGTCGCGTTCCCAGTGTCTCAAACCGTAATCTCCCCACACTGACCCAAAGCAAGCATTTATTCCCTTCTGGTTATGAAAGAAAAACAGGCTCCTCCCTGAACTCCTAATTCAGTCCAGACAACAGAGAGGCAGGACATGTGAGAAAATCTCCACAGAAGCAAAAGAATGTGGGAATACTTGCTGTCTCACTTACATAACCTCGCCTTTGTGTAAAACTTACATTTATGTCACACCAACTGATGTAATGACAAAGGATAGATATTGTATAATTTAATTATAACTCCCATACTGTTGAAGAAAGTGTTTTGCGTCACTTCAGACAACATGCCACAAAGGTCAGGAACTGTAACCTTGACTGTAACATCATGCGTTTACATGCAGTCATGTAGATGGATGGGTTACTGAACCAGAAACAATAATTCTCTCTTTCGACTAACTCAAAAACATGCTTTTTTCTGTTCTGATTTGTTTTGTTCTGAAATAAATAAATGAATAAAATATTGTACATCCAACATAAATGAAATTCCCTCAGCTGTTGATCACTGATGGAAAAGCAGATGTTCTTTTTTATAAACCAGAAATTAAATCTTTATATGTTGTGTTTTCTTTTTTGTTTGTGAGTTCATTTTGCTTTTATTGTTACCTGATATGTGTTTCTTGTTCCTCAGCAGAGGCATAAAGGCGTGGATGCAGCTTATTGGATTTCCATTTTAAGATAAATAGACATATAGTCTATCATCTGTTTTCAGAGCGAGTTAGAACATTGTGTTTTTTCTGATTGTCTTGTTCACACACAGTTTTATTCATCAATAAATTGTATAGGAACAATGTGAAAAAACACCTTGGTTAGCAAGCAGACAAAAAACTTTCCTGGGAGAGAAATAATGAGAACGCCAAGGGAATTAGAGGCATTGATGAAATCTTTTCTTAAAGCCCTCACGATACCTGTTTTGTCCTCAGGTGACACCTGATCTGGGCTGGGAGACAAAATGTTCATTCACACCCTCTGCATTCAACTCAATTCATTTAGAAAAATACTCTTTCAATCCCAGACAGAAATTAAATGTTCTATCTCTAGACAATTTTCTTCAAAGTTTCTGTAGATGCTGATGGCTGTGAGCATGGGTCTCCTGTAGTGGTCAGAAATGCAGAAGCAATTTGAAAGCTCTGATTGAAGACACTGTTGTTTCATGAGGACAGTGGTTGTTAGGGCTTGCTTTAACTTCTTCTGTGAGGTGTTTATGTATTTTTCCCAAGTTGATGTTTAGGTTTTTTCAAGGTATTCTGGCTTCCTCTCATTGTCTGAAAATATACCTGTTGGGTCAGTTGGGCTTCTCTAAAATGCTTTTAGATGTAACCATGCGTAGGTTACATCTAGGTTACCTCTTGCCTCTGAGGTAATTACTCAACAGAATGACTATATTTATATATAACTTCCAGTCCTTTTATTGTCCTAACACATGTTTTTCAAGTTTCATAACATTGACAAAAATCTACTCAGTCAGCAGAATTAGTTGCTCTGGTGCTTCGAACAATTTAAATTAAATGATTACCAGGCTTGGTGATGCAATCAAGCTTTTAACTTTATTAGGGAGAAAGTTTTAAGTTACAACAACAGAATTATTTTTTCTTGGATTCAAAAAGATTTCAGTAGCAGAAACTGATTTGAAGACTTTTGACACAAACACAAAGTTGTTAAACAGACAATCCAGACGAGCATAGGCTGCTTCGTCTCACAGAACACTCTACCATTAATCATGAAAAATAGAAAAAGCCAGAGTTTCATTTGCATAATGGTGTGAGCATGGACGGTTATATAACTTGCCAAACAGATGTGAACAATTTTTCTTTTGTCACTGAGAAAAAGAGTTGAAGCAAAATGAAACCCTCCCACTGTTGCAAAACAAAATTGATGTGTTTTTTTTATTTTTCTTAAAAGAACAAGATGCGTCTTATGCAAGAGGAATCTGTAATGTCATGTAACATATTTTGTTAAGGTTTGGTGGTTTTGCAAGTTACTGGATTGTTTTGGCCTCATGGGAGCAGTGAAAATGACTCACTATTATCATGTTCCTCTTTATGAATTTCAGGATGAGAGCTTTATTTTACCTTAACATGAATGTGTGATTGAATGGACCCTGAAATTATTTATTTCAGTTTCGTCTGCAAAAAACATGCAATTTTATATTTGCTAAACTAATTTTTCTTTGGGCTTTGAATAATTTTTGCGAATTGTAGATTTAAGCAAAAAATTGGAAAACAAGATCAGTTCAAACAATTGTATGCAAGAACTAAATACTAATTTATCACTAAGCAAAGATATGACAAATGACTCAAGCTATTATTCTCAGATGAAAGGAAATTGGTTACAATATTTAGGAACAACCAAAAAGACTGACACGCCACAAAAGTGAAACTGATGGTACTGTGGTAAGTAAAGCCAGCTTTACATTTTCATGGATTGACAGAGTGGGGGTGAACCAAAAAACCCTGTTGCAAAAGAAACCTCTCTGAACTGCAGCTGTTGCTATTCATCTGTACAAACCCATCTCGAAAAAAACATTAAGCTCTTTGACTCCTCAAAGATGTTTTTGATGATTTAAGTAATTTAAGGTGATCCTGAGGACCAGAACAAAACAATAACACTTTGAATCAAATATTGCTTAGTAAGTGTTATTTTGCACTTATCATTTTTCCCTGTGCATGTGTGGGTTCTCTCCAGGTCCTCCGGCTTCTTCCCACAGTCCACAAACATGACTGTCAGGTTAATTAGTCTCGCTAATTTCTCCCGAGGTGTGAGCGTGTGTGTGCATGGTTGTTTGTCCGTCTCTGTGTTGCCCTGCGACAGATGGGCGACCTGTCCAGGGTGTACCTCGCCTCTCGCCCGAAACGTTCTCTGGAGATAGGCAGCAGCACTCAGGGAAATCTTCTGGTGAGTGACAATATTCTTGTTGAAAAGAAGGAGAAGATATCTAACTATGGCATGAAGTAAAAGTGCTAAATATCCTCTGCAGAGAACAACCAAAACAGCTTGTGTTTATCATGCTTGGAACTTTGTATCATGGTCCTTATTCAAATCCATTTTGATAAGAACTGCCAGCCAGCCTTTATTTTAGAATTGTTATTCAGAGACAAACAGCTCACAATCTAAAGGGAAATTATGTCACACGTGGGTAACAGTAAGCTTTTATCCTTACAGCAGAGAAGGTGTTGCACAACTTGAAATGTAATATTAGACTGAAAAGACACAGTGGTGCAGTCTAATTTGTTTCACTTATGGTTTAACTTTTTTATTTAGAGTAATATGTATCATACAAACTGAGCTATGATTTGCATTTTTATCTTTATTTAATTATGATTTGGTCTTGATATTAAATGTAGTAACAGGTAAACGTTTCAATGCATTTCATGCAGTGTATATTAAGTACTTATTGCAGTATTTACAAATAATATTATTTTTGGATATTGGCTTACAAAATTATTATTTTTTAAACTCCTGATATATAGTCAGCCATCGATGATATGATGCATGTCACTCGTTTGGACTCCCTTTTTTTTTTTACTATTTCAGATGCCAACTTGGATTTCTGTTATAAACTCAGATCCAAATTTCACATATTTGCTCTAAATCATTTGTATTCTAGCTCTAAGCTGCTGCAAAAATAATCTACCTCGAGATGCAATAAATTATTTGTGTTTTAGGAGAAAGTAGTACCATTGAAAGCCAAAAGATAAGGTTGTTTCATTCACGCTGATTGTTGAATAGAATATTAGAATGACGAGTCTGCCCTCCAGTGGCCAAAACAAACACTGCAAGACTTAGTTAAATCTGGAGCGATGTTTTTTTGTTGTTGTTTTTTTAAATATGAAATACATTGTTAGACATTTATAAATACATTGAACACACAGATATTTTTTTCTTCAGATATTTAACTACGTAAAAACTGCATGCCATGTATAGGATTAGTCTTTAAATAAGATTCCACGAAATGTTGAAGGATATAAAAAAAGAAATACATAAGAGACGCAGTGAGCAATTCAGATCAGAAAATACCCACCAAGAACAAAAAGCAACATCAGCAGTAACATAAATGGTCCTGCGGTTTCTTTGTGTACTTGTCTTCCTAAAACTACAACTCCCATAATACACGAGCCGCTTGAGTAATCCCTGACTTTAGCTGCCTGTCCCGACGTCTGAGACTTCGTTATGTTTGTTGAGTGTTTTTGCAGCGATTCATCGATGCACTGTTGACAAACTGTTTTCCACGTCAGCGAGGACCAAACAGCTCGCGCCGCAGGTGGGAACCGCGTGCCAAACAAACACTTCTGCCTCAGCATAGAGTCTTTTCTAAAGGTTTAGCAGATTAGTGACCTTGGAGTAACTGGAAACTATGCATAGATCATTGAGTGGCAGGTCTGGAATGTTGTGCTTCTCCAAATGTCAGAAAGAAGTAGGTTTTCTACTTCTTTTTTGCAGCCCTTTTTTAAAATAGAGATTCTGTTTAAAACCTACACAATATGACTAAAATATATACTTTTATTTAAAAAAAATTCTGTTGTTAACTATGTTATGTAGACGACGGCAGCAGGTTCAGATGAGTGAAATCAAAAATCGAGAGAGGTACAACCGACCATTACGGAAGAGGATTAGGACCACTGGAAAAAAAATGAAAGAGTTCTGATCATTTTTTTCCCCCCAGTGGCCCTAATCTTCTTCCGTAGCTCGTAGCTCGGAATCCTTAGTTAAAATATGAACTGGAATATTCCTCAATTGTACAAGATTTCTCAGATAAATTTGGATTGTGATAGGAATAATAAATACTGTACCGTTAGAACATCTTTAAAGTCAGAAAGACAATCCAATATTTATGTACTTCACAACAGACTTTAAACTGGACCAAGTTCAAGGTGTCTGTGATATTGTTTTTAAATGTATTGTCTTATCTCAAGAACAGCTATTTATTTCACAATTAACTATGTTTTAAACTGTCGTTATGCAGTATACTATATTCCTATTTCTACCCTGTACCATATTTAATCCTATTACAACTAAAAATACTGCTTTTAACTTTTGAAGAAAAACATTTTAGGTTTTCTTCTCAGGGTAATTATGTACAACATAATAACCATGTTGTTATGGACATTTTGTAACTACTGTGATTTCAAATTGGATGATAGTTCTTCAGTTTTTACTGTAAAAACTGCTATCTCTATTTGAATGAGTTTGCTTTTCTTTTGTTTGTTTACCTCTGCGCACTTTCTGGCTTTTTTTTTCTAATATGAAATGGGCTATTCACAAGACCTGCAGCATTCTTATAGCCTTATTATGCAACTACACTTATAATGTACTATGCAAACATGACAGTGGCAGACTCTGACTCACTTTGAGCACAGGGAAAACACCATCAGATTTAATTAAATGCACCTTATCACACCTTGAAACATAAGAAAGCCATAACAGTGTAGAAAAGATATTTTGAGCTTTTATTGTTATTATTACAGTAAGTCTTGAGGTCGACACCATGGGGACCCGGAGAGTGCTGGTTACTGGTTGCTCCTCTGGTATTGGCTTGGCTGTGGCAGTACGCTTGGCCAAGGATCAGACTAAACGGTTTAAAGGTAAGCTGTTGATGTTCTTTGCTGCACCTAAAAAAAAAATCAGTATCCAGTAGATAACAAGCAATCAAAGTGAGTGATGTCCTGTGTGTTTGTCTGAGCCAGTAGTTGCCACAATGAGGGATCTTGAGAAACGTGGCCCTTTGGAAAAAGCAGCAGGTGATTTATTAAATAAAACCCTGGTGATCCAAAAGTTGGATGCCTGCTGCGAAGAATCCATCAAAGAGTGCATCAACAGCATCCCTAACCGACAAGTGGATGTCCTCGGTCTGTTTCCTTTGCATATTAATATTCAAAGTAAATTTCACTTTTATTAAAAGAGAATATTGCATTGTTGTAGTGAACAATGCAGGCATTGGCATGATTGGACCACTGGAGTGCCAAAGTATTACCTCAATCAAAGAGCTCTTTGAAGTCAATTTCTTTGGCCTGGTGCGATTGGTGAAAGAGGTGCTGCCAGACATGAAGCAAAGGCAGAGCGGCCATATTGTGGTGATGAGCAGTGTTATGGGAATACAAGGTGGGTTTTATTTTAATGAACTGAATTTCAGACAAATCGATTAACTGTGAGAGACTTTTGATGATCTCCTAATGTTTCAACACAGGACTTCTGTTCAATGACGTCTACTCTGCGTCCAAGTTTGCTGTGGAAGGATTTTGTGAAAGTCTGGCAGTGCAAGCAATGAAATTCAACATCAAGTGATTACATGTCCTGAACAATACAACATCTTTAAAAATGCAGCTAGTCCACAAGTAAAACTTTAGTTATCTAAAAGTCTCCATTGGTAAGAATTTACAGCTCAACAAATGCACCGCTTTTAGATTTACGTACTTTTCTTTTCCTAGGACTACACTGGTGGAACCTGGTCCCGTGATAACAGAGTTTGAAAGAAAAGTGTATGAGGAAGCAGAGAACATAGATCTGTCTGAGACAGACGAGGAGACAGCCAGGATCTTTCGTGACATTTATCTTCCATACTCTAGAAAGGTCTTCACAACATTAGGCCAGACACCAGAGGATGTGGCCGAGGCAAGTAGTGACAATGTTCTTCTTAAATCTGAGAATTAAAGGTAACACATTTAATTTTCAGTTAAAATACATAACCAGAAGACTCCTTCTGATGTAAAGTTTTGTTCTTTTCTCACCATTTAGCAAAAACAAAAAGTGATTACAGCTAAGGAGCCTCCTCTACGGCACCAGACCAACCGACTCTACATGCCCATGACTGCACTAAAGCATGCAGATCCCACTGGCAGACTTCCTCTGGAAGCTTTCTATAAAATGATCTTTAAACATGACACTGTTTTTAATGCCACTTTGGGGATTCTGCGCATGATGAATCGGAGGAAGGGGAATAAGTAATAATTTAATGGAAGTAGATGCAATAGTTGATTAGGGTTACTGCAGTTATTCCTCTTTTATGTTTAACATTCAAATTCTGAATTTCTGACAAGTTGTAAAAAAATAGATCTTTTATTAGCTTTGACACCCTTTAAAAGAGGATTTCATGATTTTAATTGTTTTGAACATATAGACTGGATGTATGTGATCCTCGAACTTTGTTCATTAGAAACTCAGGTGTTTTTTCCCCTTAACCCTTCAAAGCCAAATCAAATAAATTGATCTATACTTTTTTTTTTTACATTTAATTTGTGTACCATTAAAAAATTACTTCTAAGGTGAATAAAAGTGGTGCAAAAGGACACAAGATTAGCCTAGAATTAAGAAAAAAGTCATTTTTTAAAAATTGAAATATTTACACAAGAAAAGAAAAGGTTAACATTTTAGAAACATATTTATCTCGATATATATGTGGCGCATCATGGAGTTAAATTCTAGAAAAAGTTCTTTCTGGGATATGGCTAGAGGATTGTTTAGATCATTTCTAAAATGTATGTCAGCACATTTTCATTCTGAGCCTAAATCTGGATGAGAGTTTCCATTGTGTGCTTTCTCAGTTTTTATTATTATTATTTATTTTTTACATAAAAAAAATATTAACTCACAGTGTATTTCACAGACTGTTAAATGGAGGACAGTTTTACAATGTTAGCAATGTGTTACATTTGAAAGAAAATCGATCATTTTAAATGGAACAAAGGTCTATGGCCTTTATCTTCCAGTGCGACAAAGTAAAGTAATCTACTGCTCAAAGACATGAGGTTGGCTTCTCTGTCTCATCCTGGTCTTAATTACTTCTGTGAAGAATCCATTGAACCAATAACAGTGTGTGGACACATGGTTGGTCTCATCTTTACACTCTAAATAACAGCTTTTAGATTGACAATGTCGCCCAGTTTTGACTTTGGCATCAATAAATTATACATGCGTGCTGATGTTATACCAGACAGCTGTTATGTTTCTGCAGACGAATCTTGTGCTTGGTAGTTTCTGCTACTTGACTGAGCACAGATTAAATATGATCAGTTTCTGACTGAAAAATGTTTAAGATATTATCTGGAAAAATAGAAAAGTTGATCCCTTCAAGATAATCATTGAAACCTCTGGAATATGACAGATCTGAACTTGTCATTCAGAACAGCTGCTCTGTTTATTAGTGCGATATAAACACAGTGCTAAAAACAATTAAGATTAATTAATAATGACAATATACTGAAAAGTAGTTCCCTGTAGTTTTTATTACAAATATATTTAACAAGTTTGATAAAAAAAAAGAGGAAAAACTGCTGAGAAATGTTGACAGTGACTTTAAACTACTTTTGAACAATTGTAGGAATAAACTTAGAATATATCAACATGTGCTGTTGTAACAAGATTGCTAAAAAAAATTCATTAGAGTCTCAGTTTCAAATAATGCTAAATGAAATACACTTTATTTCTGTCTTTTTAGTACATAACAATCACTTTAGGAAAATAAGACTTCTTAAGCAATGATCTACCCAAAACAAACATATTTACAATCTGCAACTGAAATTTTGTAACTGAAATGCTGAATGCACAAAACACTTAGTGTGACCTGGCAGGAAAATTTTAAGACCAGAAAATTAGCAAAAACAGGCAAACCAACAATTTTCACCTGCAAATAAGGTCCAAACTGGACTGTGAAAATCAACACTTTCCCAGGTTTGAGAGACCAGTACCTGGTTCTATAATGAACAAGATAAAATAGGAAAACAAAAATAAACTCAGCTGATAACTCAACTAGACGCAGTGTTTAGGCATTGTCACTGTAAAAACAATAACTAGAAGGGATGAGCTAATTCATCTCTGCTCAAAAGCATGAAACGAAAATGCCAAAGTGTCTTAAAATGTTATGATACAAATAGCCTGAAATGTGCACAAAATGTTATAGAGGCAACCGCCTCCCCATTCTACATGGCCAGGTTATATGAAAAACAAAATACTTGTTTAGACATAATACGAGTGGTTAGCTCAATGACTGAGTTTCATCTTAGAATTACGCAACATAAACACTACACAGTAGTGTTGTTTTCTCCCTCATTCTTATTTCACTAGCTCACAACTTCATGAGCCCTGGACGTGGTATCTACTGTAGATGCAAGGGAATCATTCCTCTGCATGCCATAAAACACCTCCCTGAGGAGTGACAGGGCATCAGCAGTCACAGTCCAGCAGCCCCACCCTCACACTGGTCACCACTCCCAACTTGATCTCAGCTGATATAGTCCATTTCAGGTTATGGGGTCAACAGTTTTAAAAGGTTTTGTCGTCTGGTTGGGTTACCTTTTAGTGTCACCTTAAGGCGGTAGTCCAAACACAAAAAGCCAGAAACAGCAGAGGAATGTTTGAAACAAAGAGTGATATAAAATAGCAGCAGATATAAGCATAGCTTAATACATCTGAAGTGACGTTTGACAAAGAAAAAAGTATTTATGCTTTTCCACAAATATACAGAGCATAAAACAATAAAAAATATAATGTAAGGGCAGTGAAAAGCTGATTTTTAAAGGCCAACACGTTTTCTTTGAAACATAAATAAAACGAATGCTAAAGATAATAGACTCGGCAGTAAGACCATCAACAAATACTCTAGTGTCAATGAATAGTTATATAAAATAAATGCATCACACTTAATATTGTCTCTGATTTTTTTTAAAGATTATATGTAAAATTCACAGCGATTAAATGCCCCTTATATTATAAATATCCAATGATGCCAAATGTATTTGACAACGACTTGCCCTTTGAGGCTGGTCAGTTGAAGTGCTTTAAAGACACTCATCTACATTCTTGTTCATAACACTCATATATAAATTTGTTATTTACCACAACCTAAACATAACTACGGCAGAGTAATTTTTGAAATGTAGTTGCTGGAACCATTTTAACATTATGGTGGCAGTTTATATCAGAGGCTCGGACAGAAATAAAACTAAAGAGCAGTTCAGATAGATAAAAACAATAAATAAAAATAAACAAATTCCCTTCAACAATTTACTTTTTCTTTGTTCTACTTTTTAAATGTTTGTTAGTTTTCCGGAGAGTTTCCCCTAAGTCTTTGAAATTAAAGACTTGGTTTTCTTCATATACTTTTTTAAGAATCAAAAATAGTCCATCTGTGACAGAATTACTTCATTAAATTGTCTGCAGTTTTTTCAGACAACACACATTTCCCTTTACTTATTTATTTCTCTGCCGTATTCACTTGCAGACGGTCCTCTTATACATATTGCCAGCTCAACTCCAAAGAAAATCTTGGAAACATGCTGACAGATAAAACAGACAAACCCAAGAGCCAGTCTTTTTAACCCAGGCCCTGTTTCAGGTTGAGTCCGAATGACCTTCATGCAAACACCTGCATTTTGCCATTGGCCTCTGGGATTTGAGTAATTTGGGTCTGGTTGGGGACAGTGACAGCTGGGCTTGGTGTGGAATCTGACCAATCAGAGACGCAGGGGGGAGAGGGACTGGACCAGTGCTCTGGAGACTCTGGAGAGGGTGTCAGATAGGGGTGCTCACTGGGCAAATTGTGGAAATGCTTGGGTGTGGCATCTAATGTGGATGAATAACTGTGTTGGGAAGGAGGTGTTGGATAATCCTCGTTCCCTGCAGTACTACCACTGGGCTGGGAGGAAAGGACCTGAGCTGGCTGGGCTGCTGCTGCTGCTCCTTGGGTGGGCTGAACAGGAGGCTGAGAGGACTGCTGAGGCAGCTGCTGCTGATGCTGCTGGAAGAATGATGGTGGAGGCTGCGAGGTTTGTGGGGTAGGTGGGGTAGACGTTCCCATTGGACCCATGCTTGGCTGGTTGGTGATGTTGTGATTAATGAGCTGCTGTTGCTCTGCAATGGAAGACAGCTTCACGGGGCTGATGGTCGGTGTGGAGTTAACTGGTGTGGGCTGCAGCATTGGACTGCGGTAGAGCTGCTGTTGGTGCATCAGCATGTTCTGCTGCTGCATGGCTGGGCTCTGGACATGCATGCCTGCTTGACTGCTTTGCACAATATTCACAACCTGCTGACCACACTGAGAGGATGGAGGCATGCGATTGTGCCAGTCAAATGGCACACTGACAGGACTGACCATGCCCATGTTGACCCCCAGCTGGCCAGAACTCAGCACATAGCCATGGTTGACATCTGAGGCCATAGAGACACGGCCCTGCATGGACATTGCTCCCGCTCCAATGTCATTAATTTGTGCAAGAGATACTGCAAATGGGCCCCCTCCTTCCAACATGCTACTGCGAACCATTGGGGTGCTTGGAACAGACATGGAGGAATGGAAAAGACCTGGTGACTGCATGGCAACAGGTGACGTTGGATTGGTGATGTAGCCAGCATTGCTAGCTCCCCCATGGGGTGAGTCTAGGGAGTCCACCGGGGACAGAGTAACCGAACTATCCAATAAGGCACTCTGCATGTCCAGAGTTAGCTTCTTATTGCGAGCCTTTACTGACTCCTTCAGATTTGCAGCATGCTGGGCTCCAAGGCTGGAACCTTTGGCCCCAGGCCGGCGGTTCTTCTTGCTCTGTGGGGTGTTCTTCAGACTAGGGAGAAAGGCACTGGGAGGACACATGAGAGGAGATAGAGTGTGGCCTCCTGCGAGTTGGTGTCCAGCTGCTCCATGACTCTGGGGACTCCTTACTGTGTTGTATTCATCAAGAAGTTGTACAATATCATGGTGCATACGCTCTAGAGCAATGTCTCTTGGCAGCCTGTCCATGTGGTCTGTAATTTCTCTGTTCGCGAAGTGAGCTAGCAGCACCTTCACTGCCTCACAACTTCCTTCACGGGCAGCAAGGAACAGAGGGGTCTCCTCCTGAATAACAGACAGAAAGCTCATAAAAATTAACAAGCTGTCAAATACAAAAATATGCATCATCTATGGCTTCCATGCTGGTGTTTTTACAATTACCTTCAGATCTTGCATATCTTTGTTAGCGCCATTTTTCAGCAGAGCAATAGTTGCATCTACATTGTTTACAGCTGCAGCCCAATGCAAAGCAGATTTACCTAAAAGAGACGCCAACCATTACAATAAAATCTTTTGGTATTAAGTATTATCATAAATTTAAACCAAATGATCTGGAGATGTGAGACTTACCCAATTCATCGACTGCATTAACATCTGCATGGCATGTAATGAGTTCCTCAACCATGCCTTCCACTGCCAGTCGTGCTGCCAGGATCAGAGCAGTAGAGCCATCGTACATACGGGAGTCCAGATCAGTGGCACGATTTCGAATCAAAATCTAAATAAGTGGAAAGAATGGAGAAAAAAACCTTTATAGTTATACATTTTGGGAAAAGTTGAAAGTCTTTGTACTGCTTATGTCATAAATGAACACAATGTCCTACTAACTGATTACCTGGAAGACACCCTGTGCATCTGCAGCCACAGCAGCATGCAGCGGTGTTCGTCCTGTGTTGTCTTGAGCATTGGCGTCTGCTCCGGCATCCAGCAGCCGCTTTGCAGCATCAGCACGTGCATAGCGAGCAGCCAAGTGGAGTGCTGTCTCACCGGTACGGTCTGTTTGTGCAGCAAGCGATGCACCCTGGTAGATTAAGTCAGAGATAATGTTGGCAGAGCACTCCTCACTCTCCTCCTCCTCTGTCACCTCAGGTTCTAGGCCACCTCCACAGAATGATGCCAGCATTAGAGGTGTAAAACCATCTGGGATGTGGACAAATGAAAAAAATAAAAGTTAGTCATTTCAAGTGACCACCACAAT